ATGACGCGACGCTTGTATTCATCCAAATGAGCAAGCGATCGTCAACTCATCCTTTTCATAGTTCAAAACCGATAAGTTCCACATTTTGTCTCTTTTTAATATTCAGTGGCCAATTAGCCACGTCACACGTCATGAAAACGCAGCAAGTTTAAAGAAGTCAATGAAAAAAGGGGTGAAAAAGGAGTAAAAGGTTGACAGTTCTACCCACAGCTGAACTGCGGTACATCTCGACTAAGTATCAGTATCAATATCAACTTCATCTTTGATGAGTTGTTCATTCACACTAAGAAGAAAGCAGCTGATTTAAATCAACCAAAAATCAAATTTAAATACTAAAATCATCAAAAAACAGTGCTTCCCTTGGGCGTATCTCATTTATAGATATATCTTACATTGATCGACTAGAACTTCTTTTATGAACCCAACTGTATGAATATTCATGTACATACGTGAACAAAAACGCAAATGTTGCAGTAATTGTTGTCGCCCTTAATGTTGTTGCTGTTGCTGTGATTGTTATTGTTAAAAAAATTAAAAAATACTTTAGACGCAAAAAAAACATTACGGCACTCGATGCTAGCGTATGCTTTTGTAATTAGAGGTGTTAGCTGATCATTTAATCAGCGGCGACTGGGAGCTCTCTCCGAGAAGTTCGTTTTTGGTAGCGGCGACGACAAAATTTTTTCTGTGTTATTTCACAAGGTCTTTCGTAGGTTCCTACCGTTACGAGAAAGATTAGACATTCTGTTTTCACATAATTATAACGATGTGTCTCTCTTAGCAAGCTGCTGTCTTTTTATGCAAAAATTTTTCCACTAGAGGTAACTTTATTTTCATTAATTAAAAAAAAATACCCCATCTCCTCATCAAATACCTTCAAACCACACAACAATCACTCATGATGCAAGCCAAAATGGCATTAATATGACTATCAATCTAAAACACAAATTAAATTCAAACATGTTAGCTAGATTTGGATCATAAGCGAAATTAATATTGAAATTGGAATTTGAATCCAAATTCAAATCGATACTTTTCTGTGAGTTGAGAAAAAGAGTAAGATTTATTTTCATTGATTATTCGAATTCAAATTCAAACTAAATATTTTTCTTTTTCTAAACTGGCACGAGAGTATCAATTGAGACTCGAATTCGAATCATAATGTTAGTTACATTTATATTCGAACTCAAACTAGACAGTTAGTCGAAATTGGATACTTTATAAGTCAAAAATCGCGAAACAAGGAAAATAATAGCGATGAATCTATTATACATGAAGGAACAAGGCAAATTAGAACCTAATAAATATGATAGCGTCACAAATTACAAAGGAACATATTTACCTATCAGCTCGGCTTTCAGACCCTAAGTCATCCAAGACAGAATACACTAATTCCTATTTTTTAAAAATTTTGCTGGTTTCAGTAACCTCTAATTGTCACACAGATCAAACTTGAGATATTACTGATTATTATCAACAAGTAATAATTTAGAAACAGAGGAAGCTTGAACTATGACCTTTCACTCGATCGGCGGCGGATGAAAATTTTATCGGCGGCTAACACCTTTACTTTTGGCACTTTTTGAACTTGACTTTTTTGTTGAAGAAGAGGCCTTAAATGCAGTTAGTTCAAATATTCGTCAGCTTCAATTAGCCAACTATAAATTCTCTAATATATTACTGACCAACTGTTGTTGCTGTTGTTATATTTGCCACCTCTCTTAAAATTTCATAGAGATAATAGAGCAAAACATGTTTAAACATCAGTTTATCCAATGAACAACATTAGCTACATGTATAAAACTGTCAATGAAATAGTATGTTCGAGAATAGTGCACTCATTTTAATTGAAAAACTCATATGAAGTAAATGTAAATTATCTTTTATTGTCAATGAAATGAAAGAAGGGCAATCATCTTCAGATACAAGACAAGATTTTTCTTTTTAATAAAATATCAAACAAAAACTATATTGCTCGAGATATAGTGTTATCCATTGCTAATTGTAAAAGATAAGTATTTTCATGTTTATTTCGTGGTACTTCTGAAAAACTATATTGAGACATATTCGCTTAATTCCCTTTCTTTCACCACAAGAGTGACTATTGTAAAACGATAGGGAAAAATAAACAAAGCACTGCATTCTTAAACTTTTTCAACAATTATTGTAGTGAACTTTATTCGCTGTCGATTGAAAATAAAAACTATTTCTTTTTGTTGCTTTGTCTTCGGAAAACATGAGTTACAAACTCAGTGAGCACCGGAAAAGCGCAAAATCGAGTATTTTATTTGTAAATTGTTTTTCGATAAACGCGTATGATACATATCGGCGAGGTATTATGTTATATATAATGACTATAATATCTAATACTAGCAATATCTGTGTTCTTCAAAATTTTCGAGAAACTGGATGGGAAAGAGAGATGTTCCGGCACAAAATGATTGCTTTAGTCATCGACGGGCCACCATTGGGGCAAAGTGGGGCAGTTGCCCCACAAAAAATTTTTATTCGCATAGATGCGATTTGTTCATTTTTTTCTAGAGCTGATATAGACATTGGTTATTTATTTGTTCTTTTTTTTAGTTTTTTTGAAATTTAAAAAGGTCTTCACTCTTCAGAATAGTTTTTAACTAAGAAAAGAAAGATTGGCTAAAGTCTTATGTTTTCAAGTACATTTGTTTCATACTCATTCTTTGGATATTATGTTTTTCTATTGGTTTCAAAATAAGAAAGACCAAGTTCTATAAAGACATCTTACACTTGAAAAAGATAACAAAATAATGTTCACAATCAATTGAAACATACAGTGTTAAAACTCTTTGAACATATGTTTAGTTATTGATGTATTCAACGTAGCTTAATTTTTTCGAGGAATATATTGGTCATCTTCAAAATGATGAACTTTCTATTGTATATTTATATATACAGGGTAGCGCAAAAGTCAGTTTACCGAAAAAAAATTGAATATCTCCATTACGGCTCAAGTAAATGAGCTGAATTTTTTACCAATGATAGAGGCATGTTCAAAGTTTATATCCATAAAGACATGCCTAGAGAGACCCTTTGTTAAGTATCACCATTGATCTCAGCAAGAAAAATTTTACTTTTTCACAGATAGAAAAAGAAACAATATACTTAACAGAGGGTCTCTCTAGGCATGGTTTTATGGATATGAAGCTTGAGCATGCCTCTATTATTGGTAAAAAAATCAGCTAGTTTGCTCGAGTCGTAATGGAGATATTCAATTTTTATTTTGGTAAACTGACTTTTAGCGTATATGGCCCAAAACTCACGATACCAAGAAAAAATTAAATATCTCCACTACAGCTCGAGCAAACAGGCTGATTTTTTTTACCAATAATAGAAGCATGTTTACTCTTGAAATCCATACGGACAAGTTTAGATGGAACCTTTATATAGTACCACTAATGACTAGGGATGCACCAATTCCAATTCCAATCAAATTCCAATTCTTAGAATTGCTGGAATTGGTAGCAATTGGTTGGAATTGGAATTGGTGCATCCCTACTAATGACATCAACAAAATAATTTTATTTTTTTATAGATAGGTTAGAAAACAATATACTTGACAGAGAATCTCTCTAGATACGTCTTTATGAATATAAAGCATGAACATGTCTCTATCATTGATAAAAGAATCAGCTCATTAGCTCGAGCCATAGTGTAGGTAATTAATTTTTTTTGGCAAAGTGACTTTTTTTTTTCTAATTATGAAAAAGTAAATATTTCTTATTGAGGCCAATAGTGACACTTAACAAAGGGTCTCTCCAGGCATGTCTTTGTGGATATAAACTTTGAACATGCCTCTATCATTGGTAAAAAATTCAGCTCATTTGCTCGAGCCGTAATGGAGATATTCAATTTTTTTTCGGTAAACTGACTCTTGCGCCACCCTGTAGATAGAGATAGACAGGAGAAGAAAAGCAACTGTAATAATTTTTGCCACACCAAAAAAATTACCCTGGCCCACCAATGACTTTAGTGACTACTGGCAAAAGAAGAAAGGTGACGAACAGGAAAGATGGAAAATGTTATTCTTTTGTGCATGATGCTTTTGTATGTTGTAGCCGATTTACTGCTATTGTTAACGGTATATAAGCCTGGACGTCTTCTTTTCTTTTTTTCTCTTTCATCTTCTGTATTCTTTCGATCTTTTTGTTATTGTAACTTATATATATGTGTGTGAAAGCAAAAAGAGAAATTACTTTTGGAATAAACTTTTACGTTACGCTCGTCGATACGAGCTAACAATTTGGTGCCGTGACCCATCTTCTTCTATTTACTACAACGAAGAAGAACGCACTTATTAATTAATTTACTCATCCGTGACGGGAAGAGTGATATATAATCTCATCTTTCTAAGAGAGAGAAGGTTACACGACTACATACGAATTAATTTCAAAATTTAATTAACATAAGAAGGTATATTTCTTCTATATCAAGTTCAAATTTTTTGTCCCTCCTTTAAGTACATATATATATCTAACAACGGCTACCGGTACAAGAGGAGCGATAAAAAAAAGTAGAGCAAATCTTCTATCATACGAATTAATCACTAATTCACCAACACGAATACGAAATAGAAAATTAAACGATATTTCATCAATGCAAGAAATGGAAACAACCTCAATGGAAACTCGACAACTTCATTCAAGTCAACAAGAAGCGATGAACAAAATAGCTGAATTTTCAGGAGAAGCTAATGAAATCGACATTGATGAATGGTTATTCGATTTAAATAATTTATTTTCATTAATGAAATTAACAGATGAAACAAGAATTCTTGAAACAATGGGCAAATTAACAGGATCAGCATTACGATGGTATCAAGATAATTAACGATTATTCGATAATTGGAGTGATGCTGAAAAAGCATTACGAGATCGATTTCAAGAATTTACATCACATAGTCAATTAATACAAGAATTTTTTTATATTCATCAAGAAGATAACCAATCCGTTATATCATTTTTACGAAAATGTTATTCGAAAATACAGAAAGTTTCAACAATTTATTACTAGACAACAAGTTATTACGGTATTACACAATGGTGTTAAAAATTCCTTGAAAGAATATTTAATTCGTAATGAAAAAGAAATTAAAAAAACAGAAGAATGGTTGCAAATTGCCAGAGAAGAAGAATATATACAAAAAAGACTTCAACAAAAAAATTAATGCTTAAAATCAAGAACCAAAAACTTCACCATTCTTTGAACATGCATTTCCAACAGCAACAATTCAACCAACACCAACAACTGTTCACTTATCAAATCAACAACAATTTCTGCCACGTCATTATTACAAAAGACAACATCATCAACAATCAATATCAACAAATAATCGAACATATTCAACACAAAATAATCATTTAACTTCCCAACATAATCGAAAAGATTATCCAGGTAACAAAACACAACAATTAAATCCATGTTTAATTTGCAACAAGAACAATCATACAACGACAAAATGTTTTTATAAGAAGAACAACGGCTGTTTTAAATGTGGACAATCAATTCATCAAATACGTGATTGTCCACAACAACATTTTTTCGAATAAGGGGATCGGCTGATGGCGACGATCCCTGCGGAGCAAAAGAGTCATCAACCTCAACAACATTTACTCCTATTTTCGTCAAAATCTTATGCAACAACACTGCACAAAAAGCACTCATTGATACCGGATCGGCCATCACTATTATTCATCAACATCTATTAAATGATATACAACATGAAAAATTAATACCAAAAACAATAAATCATTTATCTGCAAATTGCTCAACATTAAATATTATTGGTGAAATACCTTTAGAAATAAATGTTAATGGAATAAAAACAACAATTATTGCTAATGTTACAACAAATCTTGTTACAAATTTAATATTAGATAGCGATTGGATTCAATCAAACAATGTTTATATTCTTACACCTGAACAACGAATTATGATCCGACGTCGAGGTAAAGAAGTATCAATTCCTTTTGTAAAGCCACCTCTTTTAAATTATCCAGCTAGTCTTATTAATTATATTACTCTTCCTCCTTTTTCAGAAAAAATAGTAGAAGCAAAAGTTCAACCCAACAATATAACTGATGTATTATTTGAACCGAATCCTCGATTAAAAAATAAAGCATTATTTACTGCCAATGCATTACTCAATATTGAAAATAGAACAATAAAAATTAGTATAATTAATGCGATGAATCGACAACAAACGCTTTCCGAAGGAACCAAATTAGGTATAGTGACACAACTTATCTTCCACAATTGGAGTTACCGTATCATCAAATTATTTAATAGAACGCATTCCAAAAGGAAAAGCGTGTAAAGTGCTCATTCCTGAAGGGAAAGGAGCGAAAGCATCGAATACATCAAATTTTAATCACATGCCAACTACAACATCACATGACCAACAACATCAATGTCGTGAATGTTATCAACATTTTAACACTGGCAATGAACTATTTAAACACCTTAGAAACAAATGTTATCCTGAAGAAATAAGACAACAAATAAATAAATTAACTGAACATATTAATGATGATAAACAACGAGAACAACTTTGAAAAATTTTATGGAAATATAGAAAATTATTCGACATTAGAAAACCATCAAAAATTGATATTATCTTTAAAAATGCTATCGGTACTGGTACACATCGACCAATTCATACTTCACCATATAGGAAATCCAACAAAGATCCAGAAATCTTAAGAAAAGAAACGGAAAAATTATTAAAAAATGGAATTATTGAACAGTCAACATCTCCATGGTCTTCACCAGTCGTATTAGTTAAAAAGAAGGATGGAACAACAAGATTTTGTGTCGATTATCGTCGTTTAAATCAAATTACAACAAAAGATGCTTTTCCTCTACCAAGAATTGATGCTATTTATGATCAATTAACAAAAGCAACATATTTCACAAAATTTGATTTCAAAGCTGGTTATTTTCAAGTACCATTAGACAAAGCAGATCGACCAAAAACAGCATTTTCAACTCGAGATGGACATTTTCAATTTAAAGTATTACCACAAGGCCTTACTAATGGTCCACCAACATTTCAACGTATTGTTAATCAAATATTAGGTCGAAATAGGTGGAAACATGTACTCGCCTATATTGATGATATTATTATTTACTCACAAAACTTTAATGAACATTTAAAGCATATTGAAGAAGTAGGTTCATTATTACAGGAAGCAAATTTTAAATAAAATGTTGATAAATGTGAAGTTGCAAGAAGAGAAATATTATTTCTTGGACACGTAATTAAAGCTGGTACTATTAAACCTGATCCAAATAACATTCGTGGCTTGGCCGATACAGAAGAACCAACATCAGCTGAAGAAGCATTTAGATTTGTCAAAGCAGCAGAATATTATAGGAAATTCATTCCAAAATTTTCCACCATTGCTGCGCCATTACATAAATATTCACCAGCAACATCACAACAAACAATTAACAAAAAAACAAAATTTGCATTATCTGCTGAAGCAAGAGAAGCATTTCACCAACTTAAGAAAATCTTAACAACTGATCTTATTCTTGATGGTCAAGAAAAGTGAGCTCCAAAGTGCGCAAACTCCAAATTTGGAGCTCACTTCTCCATCGGTCCAAAAAAAATAGCTCCAAAGTAGGTCAGATTCAAAATTCAAGCTCGTGTAGCCGTTTCCTGAAATGATAGTACCACTATCTTGCTACGCTACTAGCGTCACTTGGGATGCTAGTAGCATTACCTGGGATGCTAGGAGTGTTACCTGGGATGCTAGGAGCATTGCCTGGAACGCTAGTAGCATTATCTGGGATGCTCTTAGCATTACCTGCGATGCCAGTAGCCGTCCCTGGGATGCTACTAGCAGTACCCGGGTTGCTACTAGCACCACCTGGGATGCTAGTAGCATCAGCTGAGATGCAAGCAACATCACCTGGGATGCTAATAGCATCACCTGGAATGCGAATGGCATCAATTGCGATTAGGGGTGGTACTTAAAACTTTACAAACACTTTAACTTTAATTAAAGTTTTAAGTGTTTTACTTTAAACTTTAAACTTTAAATAAAGTGAAACACTTTAAACTTTAAACTTTAACTAAAGTAAAAATTTTAACACCTTAACTTTAAAAAAAGTTAAAGTTAAAGCGCTTGTGTCATGCCATACTACAAGGGTACCCTTAGGTCCTCAAGTGCTATACTATTGGAGTACCCTTAGGTCCTCAAGTCTTATTATTGGGGGGTAACCTTGGGTCCTCAAGTGCTACTATAGGGCGGTACCCTTCGGCCCTCAAGTTCCATACTATGGGGTTACCCTCAGATCCTCAAGTGCTACAATACGGAGTACCCTTGGTTCCTCACGTCCCACTATAGAGGGTATCCTTGGGTCCTCAAGTCCGGTTATTATGGAGTACCCTTAGGTCCTCAAGTCCCATACTACAGGGATACCCTTGCGTCCTGAAGTGCTACCATAGAGGGGTACCCTTTGGTCCTCACGCCCCACTATAGAGGGGTACCCTTCGGTTCTCAAGTGTTACTATAGGGGGCACATTTGCGTTCTCCAGGGCTACAATAACGCAGTCCCATGGATCGCCAAGGGCTGGTATAACGGTGCACCATTAGGTCCTCAAGGGGAACTATAGTGGAGTACCCTTGGATCCCCAAGGACAAATGCCCAGGCTCTCTTTCGCCGTATTGCACTGATTGGGAACCCCAACATATACCCATCAATCGATAGAGCATCCTCAATAACCCTATGATCGGCCCGAACATGCGAATGTGATGTCCGTACAAAAAGGAAGAAAAGCCCTTTTTGAAAGTTTGCGGAATTTTTCAACCCGGAAGTAGGAGGATTCTATATTTTTCTCCTTGAAGGGACGGTTGGGGACCCCGACATATACCC